CTCTGAAACACTCGTTGTAATGAACATTCATTGTACAATTATACAGTTTGAAAAAGCCAAACGAAATAAATTCATTATTTTGGTTACTGTACATATTCAAAAAAAATACCGAAACACGTCAAATGTAAATTATAATTTGACATTCTACAACGTAAAACTGCCACCCCTACCTTCAACCCCCTTCGAATGACAGGTACAACCCAAAATTTTTCGAATGTGATACATCGTTTGAAAGGTCTTTTTATTCTCTATTCAAAAATGTTATCGCTTTCAAGTTTATTGCAACAATTGAGATGAAATAAATTAAAATCATGTGGTTACCGAAATTCGATAAAATACACTCAAAAACTAAAATGTAATGCAAAACGTAATGAAATGTAGAATACGAAAAAGAACCACGGATGTTAACGAAGTAGATGTTCAAAATGTTCACCACGAACGTCTGATCCCAAATAAAACTGTCTTCTAACATTATTTAACATATCAGGCGAACCGACCTAATTGCGTTATTCGTTCTTTTGAGTTTGGTACTCATTGCTCTTCACATATCCCCATAAAAAGAAATCTAATTATGAAAGATCAGGTGATCGCGCTGGCCATTCAATCGATCCTCACCTCCCTATCCACCGATTGGGAAATGTTGTATCGATGTATTGCCGGACATTACCTTAGTAATGTGGTAGTGCTCCATCCTGCTTAAACCACATCGTATTTACTAGAACTTGAGGGTTTCCTGGATCAGGATATGAATTTGCTAAATTTGGACTGACATCATTTTGAAGTAGTGCCAAATAATTATCGCTCTCAATGAAAAAGGGAACAATGACATGGTTTCCAACAATCCCTGCCCAAACATTATCCTTTTGAGGGTATTGCGTGTGTTATTCTCTCATGTAGTGAGGATTTTCAGTTGACCAGTAGCGTAAATTTCGCCGATTAGCATGACCGTTAAGAGATAGAGTATACTCATCAGAAAACATGACGTCTTCTAATTGGATGATATTGTTATCCAACATGTCCACCATTTGCTCACAAAAACAAGTTCGTCTATCAAAATCGTCTTCCATGAACTCCTGAGTATATATCATTTTATAGGGATGCATTTTATTTTCTTTTGATATGTTGACTGTTGATGTATAGATAACATTCAATATAGTGGATGCCTGTCTACTCGATGTATGTGTGTTTTTCTCAAATTCAAGCATCACATCTAATTTGAGTTCATCACTCATTGCATTGGCAGCTGCTTTTTTATCTGTTTATCTGTTCTGTTGTGTTCGGATTTTATCTTCTCAACCATTCATTTGTAAAACTATTATTTCATGCATTTCCGTTGTCAGACTTGACGTTAACGAACTTTAAACTTGAATTAAAATACTGGCAACTAATTTTGTAACATACAAAATAAGTTGACAAGGTGTTTTGAAGTAACGTTGCCACGGAAATAATTTATAGTTTTTTAACTGATACCACCTAAAAAGCATATTGCTATGGTTTTTGCCTACTTTGTTATTATCAATACATCAACATAAAATAAGTTTTGAGTATATTGCAATAAGTTTTTAGTGTATTTTATCGAATTTTGGTAACCACACGATTTCAATTTATTTCATCTTAATTGTTGCAATGAACTTGAAAGCGACGGGGGGTCAAATTATGATTTAAATTTGACGTGTTTCGGGATTCTGTTAAAATATGTACCGTAACCGAAATAATGAATTTATTCCATTTGGCTTCTACACACCGTATGAAGAAAGCAGTTGAGATTGGGTCATAGCACAGGCATATCATGTCTAGACGTTTATGATAGTTGATACATGTACACTAAATGAATTCAAATTGAAAAAAAATTCTAATATGAATTTAAATGAGACTAATGAGACAAGGTATAGCTGAATAAGCCTTCTTTCTTGTAGAAATATATTGTATCTACACAATTCAAAGGGTGAATAAGTCTGCTCTTTCTATACCTGTGTAAGTGTGAAATACCTATGTACAATCAGTACATAGTTGTCATATCTCTACGCACTGCAATCCTAAAATCTCTTTCGTGAGTTAGAAATTTGGACATGTGTGAACTCCAGTAGAAATACTACACCGAACATCCACTTCAACACCCTTATATTTCAATATTTCAAATAGCAACTGACTAACGCACTGAATTTAACAAACTGTCCTTAATCGAGGAACACATATTGATAATACGGGAGCCCAAGCGGGGATTTCAGGATTTACTAAAGCGCGGCAGATTAATATACAGGGGGATACCTTGTACCCGGTTAAATATTTCCACAAAATATGAGCTCCATATATGAGGCCGCCTGTAAAGTATAAATGATCAGATTAGTAAAAAAAAATTGATAATCAGAAATTCTCGAGCGCTTCAGATTAAGGTAGTGTGAGTTTATTACCTGCTAAAAAGTGTATATTCCAGTAATCTGACAATTTGAGAGTGACGTAAAGAAAGGGGGGGGCAGCAAAGTTGTAAAAAAATACCGTCATTTCGACATTCTCGAGCGTAGCTGATTTTTTTTTATTTCGAAGGAAATAATTCAAGGATAACCAAAAACATACCTATACTTCCCTCTCCGAATTTCTATTCCTCTATTCCCTATTCACTTTTTCTCTATCTATTACTCTCTCACTCCGTCCCCACTCCAAATTCTGTTGCCATGACGTCATCACAGCTGATCACAGAGACTCGTTCTTGATGGAGATGAAGATGATGATTCATTAATCAATTTTTTGATGTATGTAGCCGTTACTACGTGGTAGAAGTCAATTTATTATGAAAAATGAAATTTTTTCGAGAATTTAAAAAAATATCATTTTTGGTAGAAGTCAATTTATTATGAAAAATGAATTTTTTTCGAGAATTTAAAAAATATTATTTTCTTAACAATACAAATATTCCAGTTAAAAAACATACACTCATTTATTTGCATGCTATTTCCTGAGCTTTTCAATTAATTAGGTAGGTAGGTAAGTAAGTAGGTCTGAAGTGAGTGGGTCTATTCACACTCGGCCAAATAAACCTAGCTTCTTAACGAAGTCGATTAGTTTGTATTGTGAGTGGTCTTTCAGGTCAGATGGTGAGAGTACGGATCTGACGAATTCAAAGAACCTGATTCGGTCCCCAGCGGGGCAGGCGTAAAGTATATGCTCTGCTGTTTCATCATTTCCCAAACAGAAGCGACTCACACTGTCTTCCGACAGTCCAAGTCTCTGCATATGATGATTCAACTGACAGTGACCTGTAAGAAGGTCTGTTAGATATCGTAGTTCATCCCTACTGTTGGATTACAGTAGGGATGACTACTGTTGGACTGTTGAATCAAGCTTCGAAGGGTGAATAAACGCCTTGAAGTAAGCCAATCCTGGAAAATTCTGCCAGAAGTCCATTACTCTTCATGCCATCCAGGTGTTAAGTGTTTGTTTGGCAAAGCCCACAACGATGCCAATGACAGGTTATGGTCCAATGAAGCCGCTCTTGCAGCATCCTTCTTTGCAAGAGAGTCAGCAGCTTCTTTGCCTGCCAGGCCAATATGGCCAGAAATCCAGACCAGAGACAATCTGTTCAGTCTTCCTATCGAGGAGAGTCTTTTTTGGCAGTTTGCTACCAATTTAGACGTTGCTTGATGGGAGCCAAGAGCTTCCAACGCCGCTTGACTGTCCGAAAATATTTTTATTGACTTGTGAGTGAACTTGGATTCATCCAATCTCTCCGCACACAATTCAATAGCGTAAATTTCTGCTTGAAATACAGTCGCATAAGTTCAATCAATTGAGTTCAATGAATTGAAAAAAAAATTGAAAAATATGTTTTTTTTTTATCAGATTGAGCAAATCCTTCTAGACAATCTCAGATTATGAGACAGCACGTCTATAACATAAAGATGAACCATATATATCTTGATCTGACTCGCTTGAGTATTTCAAAATGGCTAATTTTTTTTTCACATTATGATAGTGGCCGCGAGTTTGCGTCAGATCGAAATCGTCAGATTATTGAATGAGAGATTTTTTATTGCACTCAACACCTCCTTAGAAAATCTGACGCGCTCGATTGATTTTTTTTTCTTTTCACTTTTAACCCTTACGTACAACCACCCACATCATGCAAACGATCAGATTAACATACCAACAGTATTAGAAATACATAGAACATTGATGCTATCAATATCTGACGCGCTCAAGTATCTCCATGCAACAGTATTTTTTTACAAATTTAAAAATCTATAGCCGCTTCCCCCACCGATGAAAAGGTATATATTATATAACATTTTTTTCTTCTTATCATCTAAGCATTGCAACTCAATATGTCTCGATGACGCTCGAGACGCCCCATTTTGCATCGTTTGCTCCCCTGCTATGATGAATGAACAATCATTTCTAATTCTCTGTGAACAGATTTGCATTTCCTGCATTGTTATTCCAGAAAATAATTCAAATTCACGAGAAAACTTCGAGAAGCGACCATGTTGGTAACTAAGTTAGCATCATCAATGGCTGATGCACTATCTGAAGATGATGATGACTTAGATATCGAAACTTACGTTCTGGTGTGGAGAAAGTCTTTTGAACTGTTTGAAATTTTGAAGTTAAGGATAGCCCACACTCCCTGTTCAAAAGTTCAATATCAATTCTTCGAGATATTCGCTGAAATTGGCCGATACATGATGAATTGCCATAACGTATTCAAAAAACAATTTATTGTGAGATTTTCACCGAACAGTTTCAAAAAACACAACACGTGTTTCGCTGTACAATGGCTTTTAGGCGTGTCTTCACTAATTCCAGTTCATAGTTAGTAAAGACACGCCTGAGGAAGCCATTATATCGCAAAACACGTGTTGCATTTTTGTAAAACTGTTTGGTGAAAATCTCACAATGAAATGTTTTTTGAATAGGTTCTTCGAGAGTATNTAAGGACTAACGAAAATGAAGATTCGAAATTGAATAGCTCAGTAATTCATGTTGATATAAATCATTTTTTGCAGGTGCCCGACTTCCCAGACGTCCACATACATAACTCAGTCATCCATTTCGACGCCCTTCCAGGGCTGGAAACGTCACAATCAACACTCTCACTGAAAGCCACCCGCGACCTATTCAAGAATGGTAAACTGAAGCTCCGTTGTTCAGCTTCAATGTTTACTTTGTACACTTCATCGATACAAACAGAGATACAAGAAGACGCTCCCCAATTGGCTCTCATAATGGTTCCATCTACTGCGGCTAGTGAAGGTCCGTTGAAGATTTATCAATTTCTCAAAAATTATGCAGAAATATGCACAGGGTGTATCCGGTGAAAATATAAAAAATATACCTCATTTTCAAGGGGCTAGTCACTTCAACTCACGCGGTTCAACTCTCAACGAGATAATAATAATAATAATAATACAAGCTAATAAGCCTGATGTAGTATTTTTCGACCACCAGAGCTAGACGATATTTGTCGTGTAGTTTTCAGCTCCTGGCGAGACGAATATCGTCCGAAAAGAGTAGGAAAAACGGATAAAATATCGAGATTTTCTCTTTGAACTCCGCAAACTCTATCCATACCACTCTGTCAAGATGGTTGTTCTGATTATTGGAGTATTTGGAGTCTTACTCTCGAATCTTAAAATCATACCGGCCTGCCGCACTAAGGCAGAAATCTTAGCCGGACAGATGCAGAAGGCTGTCATTTTGGCTCACTGCGTTTGCTCAGGGCACATTAATCTTGGACCCAATGATCACTCATCCCACAGTGTGGAGAGTGGTCGTTGGTTCATAATGCTGGTGCGCTCTCCCGAATGTGTCGAGACTTCGGAGGATAGGACCTGACCAGCGCATACTACTGTAAAAAAATGTATTTGCCAAATCTTCTTAGAATTATTACATGATTATTGAAAAGCATGAAGGTATCCTTAATACATTTATAGATAGTGAACAAATGAAAACGACTGCCACTTAGGTTCACATGGAACCTGTCTGTGGAAACAAATGTTATTCTTTGTTTCGTCTCATGAGAATCATGATTTTTCTACCTCATCAGTTCACAACCTGTTATTGCGGAAATAATCAATTTTTGAATTATCTAACAAGCTTATGAAAGGAAATTGAAACTAATCAAGATGAAAAGCTAATAAGTAAATTAGAAATATGAATCAATTTACTGGGTCTACAATGTTTTCGACAAATTGTCTAGTTTGTTCAAAAATCCATTTTTCAATGCGTTTCTTTATCAGGCCACTATTATTGGGTGGTTTTACTGAGACAGAAACATGACTCAGAAGTTTAGCTCCAATAAAAGTGAAGCATCTTTGACCAATTGTATTATTTGCTCTTCGTATGTGCACTGCTGCAGACTTTTGTGCTCGTGTTATCCGATTATGGGGTGTTTTCCAAATAATTTCTATTTTTCAGGAGAAATGTGATAATCGTTTCAAAAAACAGTTTTCTCAAATCTAAAATTTTCAATTCCTCATAGCGCTGTTCTGTTGGATAACGAAAAATTTTGTTATATATAATTTCAAAATACATTTCTGTATTTTTTCTAGTGGATCGAGTGCAGTTGCATTTATACCTTTCCAACCAATTATACCGTATTATAGAAGAGATTCTACAAATGCTTGGTATACTATTTCCAATTTGTTAAGGGTTAGTATATTTCGGAGCTGGCGGAACCTGTACAGAACTCCTCTCAATTAATTTTTTCAAGTTATGTACTTGAACATTCCATCTGAGAAAGCTTTCAAAATCAATATCTGAGTACTTTGCTGATACAAAAAATTGGAGTTGGTGTTTATTTTTATATATTCTGGTGGATATGACTCGTACGAAGTGAATGGAAGTACTTTAGTTTTTTCAAAGTTGATTGTGAGTAAATTTGCTCTAAACCACTCAGCAATAATTCTAACTTCTTCTCATCAATTTGTGGTATATAGGGTGTTTTTGAAAATGCCGCAAAAATTTAAGTGACTATTCCTTGGACTATTTTGTTCTCTGATGATATTTGATAGGGCACTTTGTTTCGAAGACACGGAGCGAAAAGGAATTTGGACAATAAAAATTTATTATCAAAAATCACTTGTGATGTTTCTTAATCCACAAGAACTGTTGAAAATGATTACCCCCAGCTCGAATGCAAGAATCCAATCTTCTCCTCCTCGACTCCCGAACTCTTTCAAAAACACCAGGATAATTTCTGATTGCATTATACCCAACAATTATCTAATTTCCCAAATCGTCCACATTTTCCACCTACACAGGAAAGAAACCAATGACTTTAGGTGGCCCTTATCTATTAGTTAGAAATTCGAGTGTAGTACGCTATACTTTTGTTTCGGCTACGTTAATAATTTTGAAATTACCAAAATTGATATTGTCGAAATTCTTTTTCGTCCCGTATTTTCGAAACAAACGCCCTATCAAAAATCATCAAAAGACAAAATATCCTTAGAATAGTCCAACAAATAGCCCCGTAATTTTTTGCCATATGTTTAATAAACACCTTGTATAGTATAACAGTGTCATCAGCAAATTATATTATCTTTCCACAAAATTGTTGAGAAAACAATTAATTCAGATATACAAGAAATAAGATAGGATCTAAGACGGTTCCCTAAGGCACACCGCAAGAAACATTTCTTTTTTTATTCAGTTTGTTATTTACATGGACTCATTGGGTACGATCTTCAAGGAAACTACGAAAAAGGTTGTTAAAATTACCCCTCACATCCAGATTTTCCAGCTTGCTAAGCAATAGTGCATGGCCCACGGTGTCAAATGCCTTTGCTCAATCAAGTAGTATACCTAAAAAACTTATTTTTTCCACCAATATAATGTGGATGTTACATCTGCTATAGCATCCTCGGTTGATAGATGTTCTTGAAATCCGTACTGATATTTTGACAAAATGTTTTTTCTTTTTAAATATGAAATCAATCGTTTTTTGATTATCTTTTCGAATATTTTCGAAATGGAGGACACGTTTGACAAGGGTCGATAATTTGAAACATTTTGTTTTGTTCCCTGTTTTGAAAACTGGAATATTATTGGCCTCTTTCAGATGTTTTGGAAACTCTCCTTGCTCTATAGCCATTTTGAATATATGTGAATTTGGTTTAGAAATGAACTCAGATGATATTTTCAGTATTTCATTCGAGATACCGTCTAGACCAGGTGATTTTTCATCTTTCGATGTTGGACATATACATAGGATTTGGAAGTCTAACTTCCTTGTTTTCGATTTCATCACAAGGTATTTTAGCACCCAACTTTGGTTCTATTTCCGCAAAATAATCATTGATTTCATTGCAAATTTCTTTCAATCCAATAAGTTCGCCTTTATACTATTTTTATTATCATAATTGTTTGTGAAATCGTCAACTATTTTCCAAAAATTTTTTGATGAGTTTTGGTTATTCATATGGTTTTTAAAGTAATCAATCGTTATTTTTTTTATGTGTATGTTCTCCAAATGTGGAAATGAATATATTCATACTTGTTTCTGTTTCTTTCTTTTCATAGATTCCAATCCATGCCTGTTGCTGTAGTAGTTTCAATATTTTGTTTCGATTTATTTCATTTATAAACTTCGCTTTGTTGTTTTGTATTTCTTGTATGAAGGTGTCATTTTTCAATATCGCAACCGTAGGGAAATGATCTGTTATTGAAGTTCTGATTAATGCAGAGGTTATCGTTTCTAGGTCAAACGATATAGCGTCGCATTAATATGATGCAATGAGTTGCATATAGTTTTCACATGAAAATTTGAGGACCCAACGTACTTTACAACAATTTTTGTACATGACATTTCCAACTTCACTTTTCTAGAAAACCCCAGTAGAAAGGGGTATTCTTCAACGAACTATTCCTTGGACTATTCTAAGGATTTTTGATAAGGCGTTTTGTTTCGAAAATACGGAGCGAAAAAGNGAACTATTCCTTGGACTATTCTAAGGATTTTTGATAAGGCGTTTTGTTTCGAAAATACAGAGCGAAAAAGAATTTCGACAATAACAATTTATTACCAAAAATTGCATGCAATGTTTCTTATTCTACAAGAACTGTTGAAAATGACTACCCCCCACTCGGATGCAAGAATCCAATCTTCTCCTGATCGACACCCGAACTCTTTCAAGAACAACAGGTTCGGTTCTAATTGCGTTACACCCTGCAAATTGAATGTCTGCAGGCGTTTGTAGTAATCGGAATGTTGTTGATAGGTACCAATGGAATTGTTAGATTTTTCATTACGTGGTAGGTCCAGTGCAGTACGCTATACTTTCATTTCGGCTACGTTGATGATTTGTAAATTACCAAAATTGTTATTGTTGAAATTTTTTTTGTCCCGTATCTTCGAAACAGAATATCCTCAGAATAGTCCAAGGAATAGTTTAATGAACACAAATTTCTAAATTGTGTCTTTATATTTTCAAGAATAGAGGTAGGTTTGTGAAAAATTCAGATGTTCCCCAAGTGAATACTTGTGCTCAAAATCACTTTCATTCACCAATCTGTGAAAATAGAGTAAATTTCTGCTCATGAACTTCTGAACTTATTTCATCTCCATTGTATATTCTTCTTGATCAGTCCCATTGAATATTTTGTCTCTTGGGAAATAAATTAATATCAAAGGGTTATATTTTTAGGAGTGACCAATTTTTTGGTCACCCCTAAAGAAAGTTTTTGGCTTTCTATTACTTCATCATGATATAGGAAAATGTAGGATTCTTCCATTTTACTATATCAAGATGGAGTAGTGGACAGCCAAAAACTCTTTTCCCAAAAAAATAATATCATTATTAACACAATGAATTATACCTCTTCACTACAAACATTGTCAGAGTTACTATCCGATTGATTTTTCTCTGCCAGTGAAAAAGTGCAAGTTCATCATTCTCGACAATTATTTTCTAAAAAAATCAATATCATTATTAACACGATGAATTGTACCTCTTCACTTCAAAAATTGTCAAAGTTACTATCCGATTGATTTTTCTCTGCCAGTGAAAAAGTGCAAGTTCATCATTCTCGACAATTAATACTTCGTAATAAGATTAACGAAGGAGTATTGAAACTTTTACTTCTTCACTGACACAGAGAGTTTTGAAGATTTTCGTAATAAATGAAATGGATTTTGAAAAAAAACTGATGAAAGTCACGTGAATTGATGAAAATTGGGTAAAATACATTATTATGTTTCTTGCAACTTCAAGTTGTTTGACAGTATTTTCATTGATGACGTCATGGTGCCGCCCTATTAAATTTGGAGGCAATGGGTCCTATGGCATCATTTGGAGAAGAAATGGTTACTGGTGTTCCAAGTAAGGAATATTGGCTTTGAACAACTATAAGTTCGTTCCAAATTTCAAATTTTTCACGCTTGAAATGATTGATTCTGTGAAAATGAAAAAATGAAATCATTCAAAGTTCGTTATCACGGAAAAATACTTCAAAACATTCAATGATAATAAAAAGATGGAAAATGGATTTGAAAATTTTATACTTTTCAGATCTAGATCATTATTTTGTCGCAATATTTGGTTAAATACTGAACAATATTTATTTCTTCCAGGTGTGAGCATTTCACCAAGATACGTTCTATCGTTTCTTCAAATGGTTGTCATCTTTTTGCTGTTTCAACACAAACCCGGATAGATTCTACCCCAAACCACCTACAAGAGTACGGTTTTTAAAGAACTTTGTGATTCAGTAACACATCAAAAAAGACCTACAGTGAAAGTGAGTTACGAATCTAACTTATCGAACTTGGCTTCTTGTTGAATAATTGTGATAAATGTTTGAATATCAGAAAACAGTCCAAATATTGTGCAATAAAGTAGCTTAAGACATTCAAAAGTTGAGAGTGTTTCTCGAATATTAGGTGTTATTTTATATTTTGAACACCTGAAATGTTTTACAAGGTTGTATTTTACAGATCAGTTTCCATTGGATTTTTCAACAAATGACTTTATTCATTGGAAATATTTTTGAGGAAGCGACTTCGGATCAATTGACAATAACTGAATGATATCAAAAAGAACGCATATTTGATGGTGAATTGTATTTTCATCTGAAAAAGTGATTTGGTGGAAAATGTGTATTTTATCAGAAAATTGGAGAATTCCTCTAATAATTATTATACAATCATAGTTTATTTATCCCTTCATTGTTGTAGACATCTTGTAAATCCATTTTCTGTGAATAAATCCTATTTCCCAATTGAATTCGTTTTCATTTCAGTTTGCATAGATATTCCTCTTTTGACTACTCAGTGTTCCAATAATTTTTTTGGAGAAAGTTTGGTTGGGTAACAGGATCAATTTTTTCTTAAAGAAACAATTGTTTTTTTGCCGACGTTTCCAATTTGATTAAATTATGCTTCAGTTTTTCGTGTTGAGAATATAACTATTTTGAAAACCATCACACATATTAGATACATATTATTGAAGAAAATAAAAAATATTCCAACAATCAAATTTTCAAGACAACACCAACACAAAACGACATGAAACAAACGAATATTGGCAGATGAAGTCACACGTTTGTTTGATGTGGGTTGGTGTGGGTGTTATCTCGGAAATTTGGTCGTTGCATTGTTTTTGAATTTTTTTGATATGTATGTAAAATGTCTGATGGCTTTTGAAATAGTATTATTGTCAACAAGAAGAAACTCTTTTTTGAGCCCTGAAGAAAGATTCAACTAAATTCGAAACATCGGCAAGAAAACGATCGTTTTCAAGAAGAAATTGATCTTGTTACCCAACAAACCTGTCTTCAGATTCTTCTTTTTGTTGTAACATTTTTTAGTTACATCCAACTGATACCCTGTTATTCAGAGAAATGGTTTAACTATGTATTTTATTTATGATGCACTGTTTGCAACATTTGGTATAGTAATGAATATTACTGGAGTTTTTTCCAACACCAACTCGTTATTTTAAACACTTCGACACGTGTTTTGATCACCAAGTAATCATTTTCAAGAGGAAGATTGAACCAGAGCAGTGCCTGTGCGAAAGTAAAGATTCACATTGGATTTGAATCGCTGGAAATTAAATCCATTTGGAAAAACGTTCTCAGGAAGCTTATTCCACATAAACACAGTTCTCCAAATGAAAGAGTTTTCAAACAGATAAGTTTGAAGTGTGCTGAGTTGAATCTCACAAAGATGAGCAGCCACAGTCCGTCGCGTATTTCTGAAATGTACTGTTCTTGGTGGAATCAAATGTGCCAAGTAACTTGAACACCTCCCGTTAGAGTATCTAGAGAAGAGAGACAAATCTCCAAGCCTTCTTCGATGTTCCAGACTATCAAGGTTGCAAGTGATATCGCGTCTCCAATCAGGCGAATGAATGTTTTCTGGATGGAATCCAGTGGATACAGAGTATGCTTTGAGGCGGAGCTCCATACATGAAAACAATACTCCAAAGAAGGTCAGATCTGAGCTTCATAAAACATCAACAGTTGCTGAGGTTTGTACAGTTTTCTGGTTCGGAAGAGTGTTCCAAGACTTTGAGAAGCAACCTTTGCAATACCAGCGGTATGATTGTTCAAATATATGTTTAAAATATGTTTTTTCCGTTAATCAGCTATTGCACTCCTACGAACGATAACTCTCAGAACTCTAAACTTGTTCGAGCTAAGGACTAACGAGGTCTTACCTTTTAATGTATGATTCCTTACACAGGTTGGACGATAGCAAGTGAACATCGAACGTTCGGCCTGGGGCTTGAACCATCGACTCACACTTCGGCCGATTGACTGAATGAACAAAGCACCCACGTCGAACCATGCGGCTACCGACACATGAATGATATCAAAAAGGACGCCTATTATCAGAAAACAGGAGAATTTCATAAATAATTCTTATACAATCATCTTTCATTCATACCTTCATTGTGCCAAGACATATTGGTGTCCATTTTAACCCCCAACAAACTTATCGAAGTAGAAAGCGAGATTGTCTGTCCTAGCATTATTATATCGGGTTCCGAGACATTTATCATTTTGGAGAAAACCGATGCCTGAGTTTTTGTGGCGTTGAATTGAACCTGGTTATTTTCTTTCCAATTGAAACTCACTTCTAGATCCTCTTTCAGATATGCAACCTCCTACTGCCGGTGAAGATGTGCATCCGCAGTCGATGACCTGGAATCCAAATGGAATAAGTTTCCTATCTCCCTTCGAAACCAAACAAAAACCTTAATCGGATATCGAAATCATATCCTTGTGTGATCGCAAATTTTTTTATTTCCCTTTTCCTTTTTTAAACGTTTTATATAATTTTTCCTGTCCTGGTTTGTCTACATTCTATTACTTTCAAATAAACATTCGGGGCATTTTCATTGTATTTACTCGGATGATTTTTCATCATCCATTTGTCATCATCCTAAATGCAGTATTTGATAATTATATTTCCTTTCAAAGTTTGTCTGATCATAACGCTCTGAACAGGAATGACCCCAGATTCTGAGAGAGATACAAACATAGAAGGCCAACAAAGCAGAACCAAATACCAACCCCGAGAGTCGCTGTCAGGTACGATGGTGGTTGGATTTCTGGTTTGGATACTGTCCTGTGTGAGTGGGTTTTGATATACAGATGTTTCCCATCAATCTACTAAGAGAGGAATCATCAAGACTCTACTAGATCGTGCTTTCGGGCTCTGTAATACAAAGGAAGTTCTCGGAAAGGAACTAGGTATTATCACCTTCTACGGAATGATTACTCCAGAGTGATGGTAAAACAGGCTTTAGCTAGAAGACAGCAAGAGCTCCACAAGGAAGAGAAGCCGCCACAACCAGTATTTCCTACATCAGAGGATTATCGGAAAGGATAAGAAAGATTGGGTCCAAGTATAATATCAGTACCTGCTTCAGATCTGGAAACACTATCCGTAGCAGCTTCACGACAACCAGGCTACCAAACGCGGACTGCGATAGAATTGCATTTACCGGATACCCTGCGAGTGCGGAGAATCATACATCGGTGAAACGAAGAGGCCATTAAGAGTTCGCATTGCTGAGCACAAGAAACTCACATAGCGAGGAGAAACCAGCAAATCCGGAATAGCAGAGCATGTTTAGACTCATCAACATAACATCAAGTGGGCTCAAACTGAAATCATCCACAAAAAGGAACAGTTTAGAAGAGAAGTCGCGTATATGTTGTCCAAAAACGCATTTAGTCAAGCTAGCGTAGAGATACGTAACATATGGAAACCTCTAGTCAAGCGAAAAACGACCAACTCCCGCCAAACGGTCATCTCCCGTTAAAACCAATGAAGCGGAGAGAGGGAAGAGGGGATAGGTGAAAGCACTCTAATGACTTATACATAGTCACATCTCGGAAGAATAAGTCCAGTTATCACCCGAAGACGATTGTGGATACTAACTATCGAAACGTCGTGACGTAACTTGGTTTGGAATCTTTCAATTTTTATTTTTAATTTTTTGTCAATAATGGAAGTCCGAACTGATGAAATACACCACGAAACATTGTCAACCACCTTCAAACAAACATTAATAATTTCTATCGAAATCTGACCTTGTGGTTTCACACGTGTTGCTCATTTTCATCAGTTTGACAAATATATCCTCATTCAGCATTTGAAACCAGCCCGACAATTGAATTAATTAATGCAATTTGAGATAGGTCGTCAATAATGTTGCAAATAGCCAAATGAATCGTTTTGGTCGGGATTAAATATATTGAGAACCGGTACACTTCGATTCACCTATCCAATCCATAAAACGGATTAATCTTCACTGCGAATATAATTCCAACGTTTATTGCATTGTTTCAGTCAACATATCAGAAATTTTATGATTGCTGCCGGCAAATTACTGCATGCGACAAGTCCTCAGAGAATTTCATCATTTTTATGAACGATGAGATGGTTAATGAGAGACATGTTATCAGAAATGCTTTCGGTTAGGAATGTCATAACTCCAGAACAACGCAATCTCTCTTTTATTATGTTTGCTTGATTAGCTTGTTAGGGTTCGCTAACACTTCTTTAACAAACTCCTTCATTAAATCAACAACGTAGTACAGTCCTTTAAAAGATGTCCTCCCTCTGGGTCCAGACTGCAAGTGATTTTTATTGCAATGAAAACAGATACAGCTGGAAAATTCTGTTCTGAAAGGAATTTGACCTAGAATTTGTAGTAGAGGGATAATTCTCTGTTGTAAAGATAGTAACAGAAGTCACTCATAAATTTGTGTTTTTGCAAGCTATAGTTGCTAGTTCTCACACTTGGCTACACCATACTGATGAGATAACCTTTAGTAATATCGTCCGAAAAGAGGAGGAGAAACGGATAAAATATCTAGATGTTATCTTCGAACTCCGCAGACTCGATCCAAACGACCCTGTCAACATGGTTGTTGTAATTATTGGAGTCCTTGGTGGAATGGTGCCTTCTCTACTCTCGAATCTTAAAATCATACCGGCCTGCCGCATTAAGACAGAAATCTTAGCCGGACAGATGCAAAAGGCTGTCATTCTTGGCTCACTGCGCTTGCTCAGGGCACATGATTCTCGAACCCAATGATCGCTTTCCCTACGGTATGGGGAGTTGGTCGTTGGATGATAGTGCTGGCGCGCCCTCCCGAATGTATCGGGGCTTCGGGGGAAATGACCTGACCAGCGCATACTTCGGCATAAAAAATAATAATAATTTCGAAAAAGAAAAGAAAAACAAAATTGAAACTGTGATTGTTATACATAATGATATTATAATGTAAATACGAATAAACACCTCACATCAAGAGTTTACTTCACCTATTCCTTAAAAGATATCAATAATTTGATTTAATTTCTGACTAACAAATAGTCTTTATATTTAGTTTTGAACTTTGTGAAATTTAATTTTTTGAGGGACTTGGGACCAGAATTATACTTTCGACAAATTTGGTACCTAAAAGACCGCCTGAACACTTCTGTTTTGAATTTTGGCATTGCAATCATATTTTTATATCGGATATTCAAGTTACGATATGTGATTTTCCTATGAAGATATGAAGAGATGTTACAATTATTTTATGGAAAAAAATAGACAGCGTGAAGTAATCTTCTTTTCTCCATGTTGAGCCATCCAATTTCTTGAAGCTTATATGAGATCTTGTGTCGCCGACCAATACCAAAAATTAACCTAAGGCACGAGTTTTGAACTTTTTGAATCTTATTTTTGTATTGATTGGTTAAACATGGGTCATGAAG